TCCCCCCCCCCCCCCCCCCCCCAGCGCTCCTCCCACTGCAATTCACCATCGACTTGCACACTTGTCTGCCGCATGTCTCGCGGAGCCCCTGCCCCTAGCGTGTGGCCTCACCTCGCCCCTCACCTTCACCTCACCTTCACCTCACCTTCACCTCACCTCACCCCGCCTCACGCCGCCTCACCCCGCCTCGCCTTCCCCCTCCCTCCCTCCCTCCAGGCAGGTGCGGACGTCTCTCTCCGCATGAAGGACGACTCGAGCGCCTTCGACTGGGCCGTGCTAGGCGCGCACTGCTGTGCCGAGACCACCCGAGATCACCCGAGACCACCCGAGACCACCCGAGATCACACGAGATCACCCAAGATCACCCGAGATCACCCGAGACCACCCGAGACCACCCGAGGCCACCCGAGATCACCCGAGATCACCCGAGACCACCCGAGATCACCCGAGGTCACCCGAGACCACCCGAGATCACCCGAGATCACCCGAGACCACCCGAGATCACCCGAGGTCACCCGAGACCACCCGAGACCACCCGAGATCACCCGAGAAGACGCTTGCGTGACATGCTGGGCGCGCACCGCTGCTTGCGGCCCGCCGCCTCCTTCTGCGACAGTGACGCCACCACGGCGCGTGGCCCGACGCAGGGGGGCACCAGCCGACCATGGAGCTGCTCGCCGGCCGCGTCGACCTCGCCGCCGTCAACCGCTTCGGCTGCGCGGCGGTGCAGTGGGCGGCGGCGGCGGGGAATGTCGAGACGCTGCGCTGGCTGCAGCGGCGCGGCGTGGACCTCGGACACGTCAACGCTGCCAACCACGGCGCGGTCGTCAAGGCTCGCCGAGGGGGGCACGGCCGCCCGCTCCTCGCCGCGCCTTTTCTTGTGACTGCCGTCCCGCCCGTCTGTGTTTAGGCCGCCTGGAAGGGGCACGACGACGCCCTGCGATGGCTGCTGCTCGCCGCCGACGGGCCGCGGCTCACAGGCCAGCTCGTGCTGAGGGACAAGGAGGGGCGGAGCGTCGACGAGATGGCGGCGATGAACGGGATGGAGGCGACTGCCCGTTGGCTCGCGCCGCTGGTGCTGCAGGCCGACGCCGAAGGTCGGCGCGTGGCGGACCCGGCCTGCGCGAGCGCAGAGGACTCGGGGGGTGAGCCGCCTGGAGGCGGAGCCACGTCGCAGTGGAGCGATGGCTGATCAACATCAGTTTTATACCCCAAGTAGCGTTGCTACATGCTAGCAGCAGACTTGGCCGGCGTCCTGCACTGCGGCTCGCACTTGGATTGATTGATTGGAAGGCGAAACACAGTCCGACCACGACTTTTTTTTTGGAGTGAAGAACAGTCAGGCTCGGACTGGACACCAACGCGGTATGGCGTATGGGTGGACGCTGGACACAGATGAGAGAGAGAGAGATTTTCAGATGATGACGACACGCACGAGCGACACACAGACGACTAAGCTCACAAGACACACAGCCAGCGGGCTGCCACACACCCTGAGTGGGCGTACACATCACTCAGGGCCACGTCCCCCCTGTCGACAGAGAATACTTCTCCAGAAAAAAGAAACACAGGGCTCGAAGCGTCAAACAGTCGTCAAACCGAGACTGGTCCTACCCGCCTTCCACCCGATGATCATGCCGCGCGACACGAGGCCGCGAGGCGACACGAAGCCGCGAGGCGCCTCTCGCGTGGGCGCCTTCCTTTTGGCCGCAGGCGTCTTCTTTGCCGGGTACTCCGCCGGCACGTGCGCGGCGGCGCACGGCGCGGCGCAGCTCGCGGCTCGGCAGCAGAGGCAGGCCATGCGCGAGGTGTTGCGAGCGCGGACCCTCCACGAAGGTGTTGGCCCGCGCCGACCCCTGACCACCACTGATTAACAGGTGGATGTCATTCGCAACGCGCAAGCCATGCGGTGGGCGTCCGACCGGGGGCCCGCTTCAGTCCCGCCGGAGAAGGTGGCGAGGCGGGCGGTGCCGCCGGCGGAGAAGGGAGGCTCGCTCGACGATGGGTGGTGGGGGTTCGGGGCGACCGGGTACGAGAAGGACGACACCAGCTTCTACGCCAACTGCACGCAGGGGTGGAACTACTTGCGCGGCGACTGCAAGATCATGCAGTCGTTTGACATTGGCGCACCGGCCGAGGGACGGCCCCACAGCCACGGCGGTCGAGCGGCGCCTCTTCACGCCTCCTGCTGTGGACAGGCATCGACGAGGGGACCTTCCAGGTCGACCTCTGGCTCAACCCGACCAACACGGTGCCGCCGCTGCACCGCCACACACGCGCCTCTGCACCGCCGCCTCTCCCTCCCTCTCCCCGCCGCCTCTCCCCGCCGCCGCCACCACCACCCCACCGCCGCCACCACCAACCCACCGCCGCCACCACCACCCCACCGCCACCCCACCCGCAGGCGCCGCTCCTCTTGAAGCCCTTCTATGCGGGCGCGCACGGCGCCTGGTCGGCGGGCTACTGGGCAAAGACGTGGGTCCTCTACCCCATTCCCGACCTCAAGCTGCCCTCCAGCATCGACAGCCCGCAGCACCAGCTCTGCGCCTTCTCCGGCATGTTTTGCTGAGAGAGGGGCTCGCCGGAAGAGGGGTGGATGCGGAATCGGCGTCGCGCAGTAGCATACTCAGCACCGCATGGGCGCCCGCTCTCGTTTGCGCGAGGCGGCGACCGGCCGTCGGAGGTCGATGATCGGCTGAGTGGACGTTGGCTCTTACGTTTGACCATGCTCTCAGGCCCCATGGTGTGTTGTGCGTGGATATGTTCATGATCCCATGTGCATGGAGTGACGCGCACGCGGGGCGGGCTGTGTCGGCGGCGGCGGGGCCCGCGCTGGGGGGCGGCGGCGCGCTTCCACCCTCTACGAGTAGAGACTGCTGTGTGCTGACTAGAAATTAGCGAGTGCAGCGAGAGCCGTTCATGAATTCTTTTCTTTCTGCTGTGTCTGTTTATCCAAAAGTTTATGTCACGGCTGCGGGCCTGGCGCCTGCCCGCTCGCCGCTGCTGCGGGCAGGCCCGCAGTGCGGGGTGGGGCTGCGCCCCTGCGCCGCTGCGGGCTGCGGGGGTGGGGACTCGACTGGGGGGTGCGTATCTCGCAGCACATGACATGACTGTGCGCGATTTAGGGCTTGCTTCAGCCCCGCTGAACGGCGGGCACGTCGCCCCATGGCGCGCGTAGCTACTGTATGACAGGGACCGCGGCCGCGGAGGCCGGCGGCGGACGGGGCTGGCGCGCAAGCGCCGGCCACCGTCGGGCCGCCGGGGATGCGCCGCGGACGGCCCTGGAATAGCAGCGATCGCGAGCGAGGCTGAGCGTGCGGACTACCCGCACGCGCAGCTGCGCGAGAACGTCGAGTTCGTCATGGACGGCCTGGAGGCTGCGACGCAGGCGGCGCGCAACCCAGCGGGGTCCAATATTCAGGTCGCCTACTCGCTGCCTCCCGAGGGGGGCAGCGGGTTCGGCGACCTGGTGTACGCCACGGTCCCTCTGGGCTCCGTGGCGACCAAGGTCGCCCGGGACTGGCTCGCCAACGAGCTCTACGAGCCGTCCCGGGGCGGCAAAATTGATGCGGCCTGCAGGGACCGAAAGGTCGCCGACCTGATCACGGCTGCCGGCGCCTCGGCGCCGGCCGACGCCGTGTTCGGCGGCAGGTTCGCGACGGGCGAGACGCCCCGCTCGACGACCTCCGCCTCCGAGGCGGACGAGGGCGACGGCGCCGGCGGCGATGGCGGGACCGGCTTCGACCTGTTCGGGCCGGACCCCACCCCCATGGAGGACCTTTGAGGCCCTCCCCAGTCTCACCTCACCTTACCTCTTCTGTGTGAGCTCTGTGTCTTGATTTGCCAACAATATACCTAAAACCTCTGTAAACACTTGGAGCACTTGGAGTGCAGTCGGCAACCTCACATCCAGGGCCGGTGAGCTGAGAAGCGCATCCAGCGGGCCGGATGATCGGTATCGGGTTACGGGCTAGAGAGCCCTAAACACGATCTCTTCACTGCTGGATGGACGCACGAGTAGCGCTTTGAGTTTGCCGAGCCTGCGCATATGGCTGTCTCCGGCTCAAACGATCGCCACAGCGCGATGCCTTCTCCGCCACCGGAGGCATGCGGCGCCTTCCTCCGCGTCGTATCCATCAACGACGTGTACAAACTCGACAACTACCCTCGCGTCGCAACGGCAGTGGCCGCTGCAAGGGCCTCCGTTGCGGTGCACCCTGGCGGCGGTGTCGCCCTGGCCTGCCTGAATGGCGACTTTCTGTCGCCATGCACCGTGACCGCGCTAGACGGCGGCAAGGCGATGGCTGACGCGCTAAATTACGCTCTTATTGACTACGCATGCTTGGGTAACAAGGAGTTTGACCTTCCTCTCCCCGGCCTCGTGCGGAGCCTGGCGCGCTTCACGCATGGGAAGGTACTCAACTCAAATGTACTCGACACGGAGCTAGCCGCGCTGCCACGATTCGACTGCGTCAGAGTCGGCGAGCGCACCGCCGTGCTCGCCGGCCTGTTGACGCCCGACCGTACAAAGTACCGTCCCACGGGATATCCCCACGCAATGCCGATGGCCGAGGCGTGCAACGAGGTGTGGAGGGAGGCCAAGGCGGCACTCGGCGCGAGCGGCGACCTTTTCCTGCCCATGACCCACCAGCCAATCAAGGATGACTGCGCGCTCGCTGCTTGCCTCGCTGAGCACCCAGAGTTGGGCGTGCGCACACCCATTCTGCTGGGCGGGCACGACCACGAGGTCACCTCCACCTCTCTTGCTCTCCTCCCCCTCCGTCCCTCACATCCGTGGCCACCGCGGCCCGCAGGTGGATGTGCGCGAGGCGGGTGGCGCGCTCATCGTCAAGGCTGGCTGCGACGCGGCGAGCATCGCCGTCGTGGACGTCTACTGGACCGCCTCGGGCGAGCAGAAGAGAGCGTGCAAGGTTATCGCGGCCAAGGAATTTGCGGAGGAGGCATTGGCGGCCACGTTTGTGCGCAGGTGGCAGGCATTCGTGCAGGAGAGCATGGAGGTGCCCCTCGCGCCGCTGCGAGCCCCCCTCTCGTCCAAGCGCGTCCGATTCGAGAGCGCAGGCCAGGTCGGCTCCTTTCTCTGCGACCTTCTCAATGATACTCTCCGCCTCCTGAAAGGCGAAAGATTTGACTGTGCGTTCCGGGTGCCCCTTCCCTGGCTTGTGGTGCGCAAGCCAATCGGTGACAAAGCGGGTCATCCCCGTCCTCTCCCCCAGGCTATTACTCAGCCAGAGCGTGCCCTCTGCTTGCGCCTGGAGGTACGCCCCGAAGTCAAAGGAGCCTCCGCCCTCTAGTGCTACCCTTGTCTGCTTCAGTTTGTCCTTGTCCAACCCCCACCTCTCTGCCCACGTCGCCACATTCCCGTCCATGTCGATCGAGGCGAAGAGCGTCTTCACCCGCGCGCGTCTCTCCCGCTGCCCCTCTCCCTGGAACAGGGCCGCCCCCATGCTGCTTAGGATTTCCTCCCTGTTGCTCAGGAATTGCTTTGTCACGCCGCTCCCCGGCCCCACCATCTGCACTCGCGCTCGCGGGTGCGCCGCAGCATCATCAAAGTCGTGGAACGGGCCAAGGGCCAGCGTCCGGAGTCGGCGTGGTAGCGCAAAAGGATCGACGTCACGGTCCGGCGGCACCGCGTATTCCCTTGACGTGCTCACTAGCCCTGCGTCCACCAGCGCCGCGCCCATATGTCCGTACCAGTACCTCACAACGACGGTCGCCCATCGCGCTCCGGCCCGTCTACTTGCCCTCCCAAGCAGCTTCTGTATCATCTCCCGCTCCGTGCCCCGATACGGCACCCCGTGCTTATCTACGGGCACCACGTTGGCCTCTGGCCTTTCGGCGTAGGCCTCTACAAGAAGATGGTGACGTCCACCATGAAAAAGATGGTGGGACCGGAGGCAGAGTAGAGGCTAGAGTATGTATGTGTAGTAGAGTCCTGCTGGTCTCCTCTTGATAGTGTCATACGTGTGGCTGGTGTGTGTCACAGCCTGACAGCACCCCGACAGCACCACCTGACAGCACCTGACAGCAACAGCCCACCGTCTGACAGCAGCAGCAGCCTGACAGCTCTGACAGCTCCGACAGCGTCTGACAGCAACACCCGACAGCTCCGACAGCACCTGACAGCTACAGAACCCCTCGCCTGTCAGACATGCACCCGACAGCACCCGACAGCACTGACAGCACCTGACAGCTGGTCTGACAGAGGCACCTGACAGTGCCTGACAGCTGCCCGACAGCCCGACAGATCACCTGACAGCACCTGACAGCCTGACAGCCAGGGCTCAGGAGAAGAGAGAGTTTATCTTTCCCGTACCTTAGTCCTTAGTTACCCCCCCGCCCCCCTAATAACATACCACCCAGTTTTCGTACACGCCTACAAACGAGACTCACACGAGTCCGGCCCGACGAGCTCCCTGCGTAAGTCTAAGTATGGGTGAATGCTACATCTGCCTCTCGGTCCAAGTGATACGCGACAATACGTGCTGCATGGGCCGATGCGCCGCCACCGTTCCTCGTCCCGCGCTCCCACTTCCGCTCAATACCCGCAAATCACGGCCTCGATCGATGTCACCGCCCCGGCGCCCACATCTTCTTGGGCAGCAGCTGGTTCGACAAGTCCTCTCCGTTTCCTAGGCAGGCGTCTTTGCCCATGCCCCAGCTCCAGACGGCGCCGTCGGCGGTGAGGGCGAGGCTGTGGCGGGCTCCCGCCGACACAGCGACGACGCGCTGGCCAGCAAAGGCTTCGATCTTCTTTGGCTGCCACTGGGTCTGCTGGTCGCCGTGGCCCAGCTGGCCGTGGCCTCCAAAGCCCCAGCTCCAGACCTCTCCGTTGGCGGCGAGGGCGAGGCTATGGAAGCCTCCAGCCGCGACAGCGACGACGCGCTGGCCAGTCAAGGCCTCGGCCTTCTTCGGCAGCAGCTGGTCCTGCGTGTCGCCGTGGCCCAGCTTGCCGGAGCCTCCAAAGCCCCAGCTCCAGACAGCGCCGTCGGCGGTGAGGGCGAGGCTGTGGTTGTCTCCTGCCGCCACAGCGATGACGCGCCGGCCCGCTAAGGCCTCGACCTTCTTGGGCAGCAGCCGGTTCTGCCAGACGCCGTGGCCCAGCTTGCCGTATTCTCCATAGCCCCAGCTCCAGACAGCGCCGTCGGCGGTGAGGGCGAGACTGTGGAAGAGTGTAGCTGACATGGCGACGACGCGCTGGCCAGTCAAGGCCTCGACCTGCTTCGGCAGCAGCTGGAGCTGCTGGTCGCCGTGGCCCGCCTTGCCAGAGGAGCCATCGCCCCAGCTCCAGAGGGCGCCGTCGGCGGTGATGGCGAGACTGTACCCGGCTGCAGCTGACACAGCGACGACGCGCAGGCCAGCAAAGGCCTCGACCTTCTTTGGCTGCCACTGGGTCTGCTGGTCGCCGTGGCCCAGCATGCCGTAGCTTCCAAAGCCCCAGCTCCAGACAGCGCCGTCGGCGGCAAGGGCGAGGCTGTGGTATGCTCCTGCCGACACGCTCACGGCGCGCTCGCCCAACGTGGAAGGGAGACGGGTCGGCGTGTTGAGCTGCGCCACGCCCTCGCCGTGCCCGAGCAGGCCTGGGTAGCTCCCCTCACTGCCGCACGACGAGAGCCGCCCCTCGCCGTCGATGAAGACGCTGTGCTGACGGCCCGCAGCCGCCCTCGCCGGCGGGTTGGACTCGCACAGCAACGCCGAATAGCACAGCCACCGCACGGGGCAGCCCTCGCCCTCTGGCTGCGCCGGCAGCTCGAAGCCGCGCTCTCGCGCCCACAAGCGGATGCCCTCCAGCGCAAGCGAGGCGTGGAAGAGCAGCGAGACGGCCGCGACGCGAGCGATGTCGGCGGGGTCGCAGTGAGAGAGGGCGCGCAAGAGGAGGTCCGTGGGGAGGTCGAGGAGGCGGATGGGCGGCGGCGTGCTCGGCGAGGGAGCGGCGGTGGAGGCGGAGGCGAGGTGCGAGCGGCGGCGCGGCGGGGTGGACATCGCGAGGAAAGAATTTAAAGGCTCACTACAAGCCCCCTTTCGGCTTTGAGCAAGTGGTACCACTGGAGAGTCCGCGTGTGACCTTGTCGCGAAGCAAGTGCCACGAAGCGCTATTTCCTGCTCTCAGCTCACCACCTCGCCTTTCCTGTCGCTCTCCTGGCCCAGGCCCATCAGTAGCAAGTCTGAGCTGTCCCAGACCGTACTTATCTCGGGTCTTCAAGCTCACACCGGCTCGTGATGCTCCGGTGTAGGGCTCGAGAGCACTCCCGGTGGCCCCGTGCCGAGCGATTGCGAGGGCTTTCCGGAGGTCATTGTCGGCGCCACCGACTGTGAAATGTCCTGTTCCACAGTTCCCATGCACCAGGTGCCTGGATGCAGTCATAATATGTAGCCTTCTCTCCCAATCTTTTGAGCACTAGCCGCAAACGGCGCTTCTTGGCACTTCATCGCGACACATCCAGGTGCCGACAAAGCGGCTTCCCAGCTCACCACCTCGCCATCTCTGTCGCTCTCCTGGCCCAGGCCCATCAGTATCAAGTCTGAGCTGTCCCATACCGTCCTTGTTTTGGATGATGAAGCCCACTCTGGCTCATACCACGGCTCTTACGGCCTCACACACGCCCGTTTCACCCACAGACACCGCCGGCACGCACTCCCACTTCACACATGCTCAAGCACAGCCCCACCAAAGCACAGCCCTGATCAGAATGGGCAAGGGCTACCACCTGGTGACCCTGGTAGCCTCTGGCTCGCCACTGCACTCGGCTCCTCTGCAGCCGTCTCGCGCTCTCGCCACGACAGCACGCCGACGGCAAGCTTTGAGGTCCGTCTGGTGGACCTGCTGTGGCCACAGCCGCCCCTCGCATGCAGCTCGCACCAGACCTCGACACTGGGCTCGCTCAGCTTGGTTGTGGCAGCGTGTGTGAAGGATGCGCGGCCAAGCCGCTGGCGCTGCTACAGCGGCGCGAGAAGCAGGCAGCGGCGCGACACCCGGTCGGTCGAGTCTGGCCGTTCTCGCGACGCCGGCCGGCGAGGGTGGCGGCCTGTGGCCGGCTGGTGGGCGGAGAGCAGCCAGGAGGACTCCAGAGTAGCCAGCAACACCAAGCAACGGGCGAGCGCACAGCGAGCGCAAACACAGCTCTGAGAAAGGGCGGGTACCCGCAGTATCGTAGTCTTTGTTAGTATCGAGGTCTCGCGAGTTTTGGGGGTTCTCGGCGCCGCGACAGCACTGCGAGCAGCGCGATGCCACGGCGCTCGGCCTGCTGAGAGAAGACCTTCCCGGACGGCAGTGACAATTTACCCGACATCAATCGTCGACGGCAAGCTCGAGAACTGCGCCTCCAAAGTCGCCCAGATTTGCCTCTCGCGGCGCGCTGAGTTAGTATCGCCGGTGCGCCAGCAGGCTCTGCTCCACAGCAGGGCATGCCCGACTGGCTCCTGCTAGCCGTGCGTCCTGGTGGCATCCATTGCCAGCCCAGGTAGCCCCAGGAGGTCGCCTCGCGCACGACGCGGCGTCGCACAGCACCGCTCAGCGTTACTACCGAGTTAGTATCGTCGACCCACAGAGACTGCTCTTCTGTAGGTGGAGCCGACAAACGCCGGCCGGGTCGGCCCCGCCGCCCCAATCGCCGCCGCCGGGGCGGCGGCGGCCTCGGCGGACCATCCGGCGCGCCGCGCGCCCGTCAGGGAGGTGTTCACCACCCCTGGCTCCTCACCCCGCCACGCCTTCGTGCGGACGCCGTGGCACCCACCTCAGGCGCCGCTCGGACTCGGTTGACGGCCACCCAAGTGCTTGGCTCGTGCCAAGCCGACCGGCAGGCGATTCCCACTCACTGCTAGGCTAATCTCGGGCTGTCCGGCGTCAGTGTGGTGCCGTGAGGGGCGCCGCCCCCAAAACTACGACTATTAGTACCGAGCGGGGGCAGTGCATTTAATTCTGTCAAAAATCCAAATCTGCTCCGTGGAGCTTATTGGGCTAGGATCATACGTCCGGGAGGCCCCCCATGCGTGCCGTAACGATCGACAGCGATCTGGCTACTCTGTTCACGTTCACACCTCGTAAACCCCCCATAACCCCGATACAGGGGGTAGTGGGCCTTTAAACAAAAGAATTTCACAACGAAAGGCTCTCGCACACGCACGATTCACACGACAGACAAGGCGCAGACGACGGCTTCCTTAGAAGCCATCGTCCTCGCCACAAGAGCCGGCGTCCTAAACAAAAGAACTCTCTCTCGGAGCACACAGGCTCGACACAGGTGCGAACTGGCGCGTGCTAGTACTATCACCGGCACACCACGAGGAAAGAATTTACGAGCGCCTCCCGAGCTGGCCCCACTTCCCGGGGAGGGGCGGCGTGGCGATCCAGTGCCGCCGCCCTCGCCCGAGGAGTTGGGCATGGGATCACCGGAGGTGGAGTCAACAGGAGCAGGCAGAGTGGGCGAGACGGCGGCGGGGCCGCGGCCAAAAAAGGCTAGGAGGGGGGGCCGGGCCCCGCATCCGTTGCCCAACCAGCGGAAAGCGAGTGGGGGGAGGACCGAGGGGATAAGAGGGCCCCTCCAGACCGAGGGGGGGAGGCCGGACGGAGAAGCCTCGAGGGGTGATGTCGAGTGAGGATGTACGTCGTGTGCGTAGGTTCCAAAAAGCAAAATTTTTTCGGGCGGGCGAGAAATCACATGAATGGCAGTCTCCCTGTCGAGCCGAGTGATGTTGGCAGGACAAATCCCCTCGCACCGTTACCAGGAGACCTCACCATTCTCCGTTTTGGGCGCTCGCAGGCTCGCTCTCACGCCGAAAGAGGCCAAACCCGCGACCACTTGCTCCGCCTGCGACGCGCAGCTCTTTGCCGACGAGGCCACGTCGACCAATCCCACCGCGCTCGGCTCGCAATGCTGCAGACAGAGGGCAACGTTGTGCTCGGCGTCGTCAAAGTTCCAGATTCTGCTCGGCACGCGACCTCTCCGAAATAAGCTGGGTTGATCAACAACGGCTATGGCCAGTCAAGTCGTTCACGAGCCAGAGGAGAGAGAGAGAGAGTGAGGAGAGATTGGTGTGTGTCGTGTTGCTCGTCCCAAAACCACCCGTCACAAAAGCGGCTCTCGAACCGGGCAACTCTCGTTTCCACTATTGGAGCACTCCAACATCAGATTTGCCTTGTGCGTCCCTTTTTGAGCCGGAAACCTATTTTCGTTTGGGTCCTGTGGGCACCCTAGCGCTAGGACCTAGGCAGGCTCCGGCGCAGGCCTGAAACTCCTCTCTGCCTCGCTGCAAGTGTAAACGGCTACGGGACCTACCAAGAAACTGACAGGGGTAGGATTAGAGCCAGGCACCAAGGTTGAGGTGCCCAACCTGACGCGCTACCCTTACGACGAGTGGAATGGACGGGGCGCCTGCATCGTCTGTCCCCCGTGCGCGGCGTGCCCGGGGTTCTTCACGTGCCCGATCCAGTGTCCGCTCTTCTTTCCGTGCACGATCTGCCTGCCATTCCTCAAGAAGCCGCCGTGCGGCCTGCCGAAGATGAACCCGTGCTGCAAGCTCACCTACCTGTGCAAGCCGGTCGAGATGGCGTGCTCCAAGCCGTGCCTCGTGATCCACACGTGCAACATCGCGTGCTGCTGCTCGCTGCCCAGCTGCCCCTCGTGCTGCGGCTTCAAGACGATCGGGCTGGACTGCAAGTGCTGCCACTGCACCTGGTCCTTCTGCCCGTCGTGCTGCCCTGCGCCGTGCTGCGCGACTGAGGCGTTCACGGAGGCGCTCCACATCACACGCTCGCCGGTCGTCTCGAGCAGCACGGGCGCACAGAAGGGCGCGGGCGCGGCTGGCGCACCCCCCGTCGAGAACGAGATGGAGCGCTAAGAGTTGTGAGCGCCGTCCGAACAGAGTATGCACCTCTCGGCGGCTGCGTGCGGTCGAGTCGCGACAAGCATGCGATCTTGCCATTCATCATCTGCCGAGAGCGGGTTTGCTTGCCTGACACCTTCCCTCTCGCTTGTGCACTCGCACAAATGATCTCCCCGAACATCCTTCCCTGATCTCGCTCGTCGTTCTCCGGTGCCATGCACGTGCCCGCTGCATCACACGTTGCATCCAGATCCAGCGCACTGGTCGCACACTGCGTCGCACGCTGGGTCCGGCTCCCATGAGGTGCCGCATGTTTTGGTATTCACACTAATATCGAGGGTGTGAAATTCGACCTTCCTCTTTTCCGCGCCCCCCCCGCAAGGCGCGCGATACACCCTGCTCGCGCGGGCGTCTATGCGCACCCCGTCATATGCGCCGTCCGAGCGTCCGGCGTTATTTATTGGCGTCGCGCAGTCGTGAGAGGGGACCCGGCTCTATGCGATTATAGTCTACACGCGCGCCGAGAGCGCGGGGACGGGCTCGTGACGGCTGGTTCCGCCGTCACGCCAACCCTGCTCCACCAGCACCACCGTCACGCCACACAGGGAGTCGGCCGGCGCGAAGCGACGACCGCCGAGCTTTAGGTCGCCGACATCCAGCCGGAGCTGCGAGTCCACACGGAGGCGTCTAGGGCGAATTCACTGGGACAGTGATTTTGCAGAGACTACCTCATTTGCTGCTCCCCCCATGAAGGGGGGTTTGTGTGGGAAGCCAAGGGAGGTTTTTGGCTTCCCACATTTGTGATGCGATTCGACCTGCTTTTGATCGGTCGAAAGCAGGGGTCGAATCGAGAGAGAGAGACGCGAGAGCCCAGGGGCGGCTCGCCTGCAGAGCCTCTCTCTCCTGCCATTCTGCTTGTCTGTTTTGTGGCCTCTTCTCTCGTCTGTCGGTGTTTTGTCCCACCCTGAGCGCATTGAACCAATGTGCTCTTCCCGCCCTGGGGTTGTGCTGTCTTCCTCCTCCGCTCCGCCGTGTGCCGGGGAGTCGATCAGGCAGTTCACTTTGGGGGCTACGGGTATCCCCCCTGGCTATACTTTGAGATTAGGCATCAAAAGTGGTTCACAGTGGAGGCGGTCGACGTCCTACGCACACCTCGCCACACCGTCACGCCCTCACCACCTCCCGCAGCAGCGCCTCGAGGATGCGGTCGGCGACGGCGTGCTCGATCTCGCGCTCCTCGAGGGCGACGCGGCTGTCGGCGTACCGCTGCAAGTCCGCCACGTCCGCCTCGCTCATCCTCCGCTGCGCCGCCTCGTCGAGGGGCATCCCTGCAGAGCATAAGGGGGGGGGTTTTATGGGGGGCCCACCACCCGGCGGGGTCGGAGAACACAAGCTTCCCCGACCCTGGTTGGCACCCCCGGCAGAACAT